AATAATAATAATAACAATAACAAGAAGCCAGTATATTCCAGGGGTTGTTGTTGATAATAATAATAATAATAACAACAATAACAAGAAGCCAGTATATTCCAGGGGTTGTTGTTGATAATAATAATAATAATAACAACAATAACAAGAAGCCAGTATATTCCAGGGGTTGTTGTTGTTGATGATGATGATAATAATAATAATAACAATAGGTGCAACCCCAGTGGCCACCCTGTCTTTGTAGTAGTAGCAGTAGTAGTATAATAATAATAATAACAACAACAACAACAATAGGGTAGGGAAGGGCCCACCTGAGCGCCCCCATTCTCGGTCCGGAAGACGTATTTGATGTTGGGGTCGGGGAACGTGGCGGCCGACTGGATGCTGGCGATGGCCACGCTGGTGGGATCCTCGCCTGTGGCCACTGCGCCTTCAGGAAAGAAGGGGGGCAAAGGGGGAGGGGAGGGGGGGCATGGGGGGGGAGGAGGGCGATCTGAATTAATTATTTGATTAACGACTAGCATTGTCCAGATACGTTTTTTCGCTTTCTTCCCTTCCTTCCTTCCTTTCACCACCTCATACATTTTCCTCTCTTTTCTCTCCTTTTCCCTTCTTTTTCTCATTTTTTATTCCCTTCCTTCCCCTTCTTTTTCTCTTTCTTTCTTTCCCTCCTTCCACTTCTTTTTCTCTTTCTTTCTTTTTCTTTCCTTACTTCCTTCCCTCCCTCCCCTTCTTTTTCTCTTTCTTTCCTTCCCACCTTCTTCTTCTTTTTCTCTTTCTTTCTTTCCCACCTTCTTCTTCTTTTTTTCTTTCTTCCTTTCCCTCCTCCCCCTTCTTTTTCTCTTTCTTCCTTCCCCTCCTCCCCCTTTTTCTCTCTTTCTTTCCCTCCTTCCCCTTCTTTTTCTCTCTTTCCTTCCCTCCTTCCCTTTTTTCTCTGTCTTTCTATCCCTCCTTCCCCTTCTTTTTCTATCCTTCCTTCCCCTTCTTTTTCTCTTTCTTTCTTTCCTTCCTTCCTTCCCCTTCTTTTTCTTTCTTCCTTTCCCTCCTCCCCCTTCTTTTTCTCTTTCTTTCTTTCCCTCCTTCCCCTTCTTTTTCTTTCTTCCTTCCCTCCTCCCCCTTCTTTTTCTCTTTCTTTCCCTCCTTCCCCTCCTTTTTCTCTTTCTTTCCTTCCTTCCTCTTCTTTTCTCTTTCTTTCCCTCCTTTCCCTTATTTTTCTCTTTCTTTCTTTCCTTCCCCTTTTTTCTTTCTTCCTTTCCCTCCTCCCCCTTCTTTTTCTTTCTTTCTTTCCTTCCCCTTCTTTTTTCTCTTTCTTTCCTCCTTTCCCCTTCTTTTTCTCTTTCTTTCCTTCCCCTTCTTTTTTCTCTTTCTTTCCTCCCTCCCCCTTCTCTTTCTTTCCTTCCCTCCCCCCCCTTCTTTTTCTCTTTCTTTCTTTCTTTCCTTCCTTCCCCTTCTTTTTCTTTCTTCCTTTCCCTCCTCCCCCTTCTTTTTCTCTTTCTTTCTTTCCCTCCTTCCCCTTCTTTTTCTCTTTCTTTCCTTCCCTCCTCCCCTTCTTTTTCTTTCTTTCCTTCCCCTTCTTTTTTCTCTTTCTTTCCTCCCTCCCCCTTCTCTTTCTTTCCTTCCCTCCTCCCCCTTCTTTTCCTTTCTTTCTTTCCTTCCCTCCTCCCCCTTCTTTTTCTCTTTCTTTCTTTCTTTCCTTCCCTCCCCTTCTTTTCCCTTCCCATAATGGGGGGAAAGACAGAGGAAGGCCTGCCCACCTTCCTGGATCTGCACGGTCCCCTCGTCCGCCTCCACGGCCTTCTGCTGCCTGTCAACGGAGAGGAAAACAAAAGGGAATACATCAACGAAAGAGAGGAGGGGGTCCACTCTCTCCCCAAAACCCTATTGCGCGAGGGTTGGACTGGATGACCTCCTGGCCCCCTTCGAAGGGAGCATCTACACCGTGGGATGAATGCGGTTCCACTCCCCTTGGCCCCGCGGATCCCTCACCCCTTCATGGCTTCGCCTTGTGAGGCATCAGAAGATCAGAACTGGCCTCAGGGATTGTCCGTCCTGCTTCCACCTCGGATCCTTCAATGTCGCTTTCGTCTGAACGCCTGGAAAAGATAACAATAATATATTATATATTATTATTACTATTACTCTTATTACATTATTATTATTATTATTCTATTATTGTACGCTGTTACTATTACTATTAAATATTATTATTAATATTACTATTGTTATATATTATTATTACTATTACTCTTATTACATTATTATTATATTTTCATAGGCTGTTACTATTATTATATATTATTATAACTATTATTATACATTATTATTACAATTACTAATAGTCTTATTACATCAATATTATTTTATCATAGGCTGTTACTATTATTATTAAATATTATTACTATTAATATTACTATTATCATATATTATTATTACTATTATTATATAATATTAATACTAGTACTATTATTATATATTATTATTATTACTATTACTATTATCCTTATTGCATTATTATTATTATTATTATTATTATTCTATTTTCATAGGCTGTTACTATTATTATTAAATATTATTACTATTAATATTACTAATATCATATATTATTATTACTATTACTCTTCTTACATTATTATTATTATTATTATTATTCTATTTTCATAGGCTGTTACTGTTATTACATAATATTATTACTAATACTATTATTATATATTATTATTATTATTACTATTACTATTATCCTTATTGCATTATTATTGTTATTATTATTATTATTCTATTTTCATAGGCTGTTACTATTATTATTAAATATTATTACTATTACTATTATTATATATTATTTATACTATTACTCTTATTACATTATTATTATTATTATTATTATTATTATTATATTTTCATAGGCTGTTACTATTATTATATATTATTATTACTATTACTATTATTATATATTATTGTTATTACTATTACTATTATCCTTATTGCATTAGTATTAATATTATTCTATTATCATAGACTGTTACTATTATTATATATTATTATGACTATTATTATATATTATTATTACAATTACTAATATTCTTATTACATTATTATTATTTTATCATAGGCTGTTACTATTAGTATTAAATATTATTACTATTAATATTACTATTATCATATATTATTATTACTATTACTCTTATTACATTATTATTATTATTATTATCTTTTCATAGGCTGTTACTATTATTATATAATATTATTACTAATATTATTATATATTATTATTATTATTACTATTATTATTATCCTTATTGCATTATTATTATTATTATTCTATTTTCATAGGCTGTTACTATTATTATTAAATATTATTACTATTACTATTATTATATATTATTATTACTATTACTCTTATTACATTATTATTATTATTATTATTATATTTTCATAGGCTGTTACTATTATTATTAAATATTATTACTATTACTATTACTATATATTATTGTTATTACTATTACTATTATCCTTATTGCATTAGTATTATTATTATTCTGTTATCATAGGCCGTTACTATTATTATATATTATTATGACTGTTATTATATATTATTATTACCATTACTAATATTCTTATTACATTATTATTATTTTATCATAGGCTGTTACTATTATTATTAAATATTATTACTATTAATATTACTATTACTATATATTATTATTACTATTACTCTTATTACATTATTATTATTGTTATTATATTTTCATAGGTTGTTACTATTATGATATATTATTATTACTATTATTATTATGATATATTATTAATACTATTACTCTTATTACATTATAATTGTTATTATATTTTCATAGGCTGTTACTATTATGATATATTATTATTACTATTATGAGATATTATCATTACTATTACTATTATTCTTATTACATTAGTATTATTATTATATCTTCATAAGATGTTACTATTATTATCATATATATTTATTACAATTACTATATATTATTATTATTACTATAATATACACATGCATTCACATGCATACACACATATATACATATACACACATACACATGCATGCATATGCATACACACATATATACATATACTCACAAATACACACATGCATGCACATGCATAAACACATATATACATATACAGACAAATACACACATGCATGCATATGCATACACATATATACATATACACACAAATATACACATGTATGCACATGCATACACACATATATGCATATACACACAAATATACACATGCATGCACATGCGTACACACATATATGCATATACACACAAATATACACATGCATACACACATATATGCATATAAACACAAATATACACATGCATGCACATGCATACACACATATATACATATACACACAAATATACACATGCATGCATATGTGTACACATATATATGCATATACACATGCATGCACATGCATACACACATATATACATATACACACAAATATACACATGCATGGACATGCATACACACATATATGCATATACACACAAATATACACATGCATGCACATGCATACACACATATATGCATATACACACAAATATACACATGCATGCACATGCGTACACACATATATGCATATACACACATATATACATATATACATATACACACATACACATGCATGCACATGCATAAACACATATATACATATACAGACAAATACACACATGCATGCACATGCATACACATATATACATATACACACAAATATACACATGCATGCACATGCGTACACACATATATGCATATACACACAAATATACACATGCATGCACATGCGTACACACATATATGCATTTACACACAAATATACACATGCATGCACATGCATACACACACATATACATATACACACATACACATTTATGCACATGAGTACACATATATATGCATATACACATGCATACACACATATATACATATACACACAAATATACACATGCATACACACATATATGCATATACACACACAAATATACACATGCATGCACATGCGTACACACATATATGCATATACACACAAATATACACATGCATGCACATGCATACACACATATATACATATACACACATACACATGCATGCACATGCATACACACATATATGCATATACACACAAATATACACATGCATGCATATGCATACACACATATATACATATACATGCATGCACATGCATGCACATGCGTACACATATATATGCATATACACATGCATGCACATGCATACATATACACATATGTATACATATTTATTTATACACACATATATACACACATATATGCACACACAAACACACATATATACACAAATATATACATACATAGAAATACATATACACACACACAGCACATATATGCAGACTGGGCCACAGGAACACGTGGCAGGGAACGGCTAGTAATAATTTAAGAATAGTGTATACATTGTATACATATATAAGAGAGCAATAATATCTTGTGGAAGGCTTTCATGGGTTGCTGTCAGTTTTCCAGACTGGGTGGCCATGTTCCAGAAGCATTCTCTCCTGACGTTTTGCCCACAATCAGGGCCAGCTGCAAGGCTACTCAATGCTAACAAAGAGGAACACGAGGATGACGGGGGAATCCCAGACAGGAAACAACCTGGGCCAGCTAACACATCCCAACAAAGGATAGCTTTGAAGCTTCAAGGCGATTCAATGCTAAATAGCCTCAAACAAAAAGGAACAGGGGAATCCCAGACAGGAAACAACCAGGGCCAGCTAACACATCCTTACCAAAGATTATTCCCCCTCCAGGCAGGAAGTAGCCAAGCTTTGAAGCTGAAAGGCTATTCCATGCTAATTAAGGTGGCCAATTGTAGCATTCAGACTCGCCTCAAACAAAGAGGAACAGGGGAATCCCAGACTGGAAACAACCAGGGCCAGCTAACACCTCCCAACCAAGGATTATTCCTCCTCCAGGCAGGAAGCAGCGAAGCTTTGAAGCTGCAAGTCCATTCAGTGCTAACTAAGGTGGCCAAGAATAGCCTCAAACAAAGAATAACAGGGGAATCCTAGACAGGAAACAACCAGGGCCAGCTAACACCTCCCAACCAAGGATTATTCCCCCTCCAGGCAGGAAGCAGCCAAGCTTTGAAGCTGCAAGGCTATTCAATGCTAATTATGGTGGCCAATTGCAGGAAACAAAGAGGAACACTCAGAAAACAGGGGAATCCCAGACAGGAAACAACCAGGGCCAGCTAACACCTCCCAACCAAGGATTATTCCCCCCCAGGCAGGAAGCAGCCAGGCTTTGAAGCTGCAAGGCTATCCAATATAATAATAATAATATTAAGAGTAATTTAAATAGATAGACAGATAAGTGATAGTAATTATAATATGATAATCAGTATAATAAGCATATAATAAGTATGGCATTGTCCCCCAACCCGTTTCCATGACGACGAGAGGGTTTTTGGCCCTCCTTTTACCTCCTCTGTCTGCTTTTGGGCCCAATGGCTCTCCATGGATAGGTGTGCGCATGCGCACTGCCGGGCCCCTCCCTTCCTCTCTTCCTTCCGCCGCCTTTTGCCTCACTTCCGGTCTCCGCCTCCTCTCGCAGGCCTCAAAAAGCACGGTGAGGCCTACACTTCCGGTCTCCGGACGCCTTAACTGGGCGTTGGAGGCGCCATCTTGTTGAGGGACACGGCCGCCTCGATTTGAGCGCCATCTTGGGAAGGGAATGTTCCCCTGCCAGATTGAGTTAAGGCCTTTCTTGGCTTTGGAGGCGCCATCTTGTTGAGGGACACGGTGGCTTCGATTTCAGCGCCATCTTGGGAAGGGAATGTTTCCCTGCCAGTTTGAGTTAAGGCCTTTCTTGGCATTGGAGGCGCCATCTTGTTGAGGGACACGGCCGCCTCGATTTGAGCGCCATCTTGGGAAGGGAATGTCCCCCCTGCCAGCCTTGAGTTAAGGCCTTTCTTGGCTTTGGGGGCGCCATCTTGTTAAGGGACACCGCCGTCTCAATTTGAGCGCCATCTTGGGAAGGGAATGTTCCCCTGCCAGATTGAGTTAAGGCCTTTCTTGGCTTTGGAGGCGCCATCTTGTTGAGGGAAACTGTGTCCTCGATTTGAGCGCCATCTTGGGAAGGGAATATTTCCCTGCCAGCTTGAGTTAAGGCCTTTCTTGGCATTGGAGGCGCCATCTTGTTGAGGGACACGGCCGCCTCGATTTGAGCGCCATCTTGGGAAGGGAATATTCCCCTGCCAGATTGAGTTAAGGCCTTTCTTGGCTTTGGAGGCGCCATCTTGTTGAGGGAAACTGTGTCCTCCATTTGAGCGCCATCTTGGGAAGGGAATATTTCCCTGCCAGCTTGAGTTAAGGCCTTTCTTGGCATTGGAGGCGCCATCTTGTTGAGGGACACGGCCGCCTCGATTTGAGCGCCATCTTGGGAAGGGAATATTCCCCTGCCAGATTGAGTTAAGGCCTTTCTTGGCTTTGGAGGCGCCATCTTGTTGAGGGAAACTGTGTCCTCCATTTGAGCGCCATCTTGGGAAGGGAATGTTTCCCTTCCAGCTTAAGGCTTTTCTTGGCATTGGAGGCGCCATCTTGTTGAGGGAAACGGCCGCTTCGATTTGAGCGCCATCTTGGGAAGGGAATGCTTCCCTGCCAGATTGAGTTAAGGCCTTTCTTGGCGTTGGAGGCGCCATCTTGTTGAGGGACACGGCCCGATTTGAGCGCCATCTTGGGAAGGGAAGGCTTCCCTGCTCTTCCAACAAAGGAAGACGGGTTTGTATTGGAAACGTTAATGAGGCGCCACTTCCGGCGGTGCCATCTTGGTGAGGTGACAGCACGTTTCTTTTTGGGCGCCATCTTGGAGAAGGTCAGCCTTCTAACTTCCGCTTTTGCTTCTGAGAGTATTATATCTAAAATAAAATATAAAAAATAAAAATATATAATATAAAATAAAATAGAAACATGTAAATATATATATAATAAAATAGATTAAAATATAAAATATAAAACAAAATATATAAAAATAGATGAAATAAAATAAAATATAAAGTAAATAAAAATAGATAAAATATAAAGTAAAATATACAAAATATAATATATAATATAAAAATATATAATATATAAAAATATAAACAAGTAAATATATATAAAATAATAGATACAAATATAAAATATAAATCAAAATATATAAAAATAGATAAAATAAAATATAAAAATAAAACATAAAATATAAAAATGTATATAATGTAAAATATAAAAATATATAAAATATTAAAATAAAATATAAAATATAAATATATAATATATATAAAATATAAAATAAAACATAAAGATATATAATATAAAATATAAAACAAGATGTATAAAAATATATAATATAAAGTAATAAAAATATAAAAATGTAAAAATATATAAAATAAAATAGATAAAAATATAAAAATATAAAATATAAAACAAAATATAAAAAAATAGATAAAATAAAATATAAAGTAAAATATATATAATATAAAATATAAAAATATATAATCTATTCTCTTCATTGTTCTACCCAAGGACCGCCTCCCATTGGCTGAGAGCCTGAAGCGGCGCTGACTCTCTGATTGGCTGATGAAATTTGAACTTGGACAGCTCTGGTTTTCTATAAAAATGTACTAAAATGTATTGCGTGTATGTCTCTCCTGATGAACTATCGCGGTTTGACATCCGTACCAGCTGGACAAAATAAAGACAACTCGGTAACTTTTCTTCAACTTTGGTGAGATTTATTTGGGGAAAATCAGGGGAAATCTCTTGGCTCGCACTCTCTCTCCGCTCGCCAGAGTACCGGGCCCTCTTTGGTGGATCTAAGGGCTCCTCTCTCAATCTCACAAACACATGGGCACAGGCAATCCAACAAGAAGGCAGCAGTTGCATACAGAAAATCAGATAACGGCACTAAACCAATTAGCAAAATATAATCATATATCAGGTGCCAAATAAACATTAGGAAAAACTAATGTTCTGACGGTAAGAGTTGTTATGTTCTTCTCCTCGGGGTTTCAAGGGTCTATTTACGTCCCTACAGAGGCCAGATGGCCATCTGTCGGGAGGGATTAAATTGTGTCTTTCCGTATAGCCGAACGGGGCATGTCTAGATGACCTTTGGGGGTTCCTTCTGAAGAAAGCATACCAAGTCTGGTAGCGTCTCCTTCCTTCCCAAGATGTTTTTCAACAGATGGCCATCTGTTGGGAGGGATTGCATGGTGTATTCCTCTATGGCAGATTGGGGCATGTCTAGATGACCTTTGGAGTTCCTTCCAAGTATTCCTTCCCAAGTGGTTGTTCGACAGAGGCCGGATGGGCTTCTGTCGGGAGGGATTGCATAGTGTCTTCCTAACAGCGTGGGGCATGTCTAGATGACCTTTGGGGGTTCAGCATTCACAGTCCGGTGGCGTCTCCTTCCTTCCTTCCTGACAGATGTCCACCCAGCAAACCAAACAGGCCATCTGTCGGGAGGGATTAGATGGAGTATTTCCTTATAGCAGAACATGACTAGATGAACTGGGGGGGGGGGTCCCTTCCAAGTATAGCATTTGGAACCCTTCCTTCCTGACAGATGTCCATCCAGCCTCAAAATAAAAGAAGAAGCTGGAGGACCATCTGTAGGGAGGGATTGCATTGTGAATTGTGTATGGGGCATGTCTAGATGACCTTTGGGGGTCCCTTCCAAGTATAGGATTCAATGGTGTGGTGTTTCCATTCCCTGGTGGTTATTAAACAGAGGCCAGCTGGCCATCTGTTGGGAGGGATTTAATGGTGTCTTTCCTTATAGCGGAATGGGACATCTCTAGATGACCTTTGGGGGGCCCTTCCAAGAATAGCATTCAGAGTCCGGTGGTGTTTTCTTCCTTCCTTGGTGGTTGTTCAGCAAAGGCTGGATGGCCATCTGTCGGGAGGGATTGTATAGTGTCTTTCCTTATAACAGAATGGGACGTGTCTAGATGACCTTTGGGGGTTCCTTCCAAGTATAACATACAGAGTCTGGTGCATCTTCTTTCTTCCTGACAGATGGCTACCCAGCCTCAAAAAAAGAGGAGCTGGAGGGCCATCTGTCAGGAGGGATTAGATGGTGTCCTTCCTTATAGCAGAACATGACTAGATGAACTTTGGGTGTTCCTTCCAAGTACAGCATTCAGAGTTCAATGGTGTCTCCTCCCCGACAGATATCCACCCAGAGTCAAAAAAGAGAAGCTGGATGGCCATCTAGAATCCTAGAATCCTAGAGTTGGAAGAGACCTCCTGGGCCATCATCCAGTCCAACCCCATTCTGCCAAGAAGCAGGAATATTGCATTCAAATCACCCCTGACAGATGGCCATCCAGCCTCTGTTTCAAAGCTTCCAAAGGAGGAGCCTCCACCACACTCCGGGGGAGGCAGAGAGTTCCACTGCTGAATGGCTCTCACAGTCAGGAAGTTCTTTCTCACTTCTAACTGTGCTAAGACACAAAAGAGACATGCACAAGAAGAGGAAAAAGGGAGAAATCACCAAAGAAGAATTCCAACACATAGCCAACACCTGTAGGGAAAAGGTCCGCAAGGCTAAACTGGGAAAGAAACCCGGATTAAACAAGAATCCTAGAATCCTAGAGTTGGAAGAGACCTCCTGGGCCATCCAGTCCAACCCCATTCTGCCAAGAAGCAGGAATTTTGCATTCAAATCACCCCTGACAGATGGCCACCCAGCCTCTGTTTCAAAGCTTCCAAAGGAGGAGCCTCCACCACACTCCGGGGAAGGCAGAGAGTTCCACTGCTGAATGGCTCTCACAGTCAGGAAGTTCTTCCTCACTTCTAACTGTGCTAAGACTGTCAGGAGGGATTGCATGGTGTCTTCGTCTTTGGCAGAATGGGACATGTCTAGATGACCTTTGGGCGTTCCTTCTCAGACTAGCATTCAGAGTCCAGTGGTGACAGATAGCCATTCAGCCTCAAAAACCAACCAAAAAATTGTATGGCCATCTGTCGGGACAGATTGAATTGTTCCAACGAAGAGTCCGGATTGTATCGGAGTTCTCTTCCGAGTCTGGAACCCCTTTTGGCCTCACGGCGCCTCTTCTGACAGTGACAAGCGCCTCCCTTTCGCCGAGCTCCTCATACCTTCAGGATCAAAGGCTACTTGTCCATCTGGTGAGGTCAGCTTGACCCCAAGGTGGACGTCGGAGGGACTTGCGCAGCTCTGGGGCCTCGAAAGCTTGAGGGCCGGCTTGCGCTGCAGGGTTGTCATCACCGCCTTCTTCTCTGCCCCGACCTCCCCACCGCAGGTCTTCATCCTCCGCATCGCGACCTGGCCACCTTGCCGTTTTTTGGCCAGAGCAACCGCTTCGTCAAAGGACATGCTGCCGCCGTTGTTGTGCCATTGCGCCCGCCTTTGCGGGGAGGCCTCAGCTCTTCCTCGACCTTCTATAGGGCTTGGAGAAGGATCCGTTGTCCCATAATGCTTCAACGCAGAGCTGAGACCTTCTATTGGCTTTGGAGATGGATCGGTTGTCCTATCAGCTCTCTGTTGACATTCTATAGGGTTACGAGAAGGATCTGTTCTCCCATGATGCTTCAATACAGAGCTGAGACCTTCTATAAACTTTGGAGATGGATCAGTTGTCCCATCAGCTCTCCGTTGACCGTCTATCGGGTTTCGAGAAGGATCCATTGTCCCATCAGCTCTCCGTTGACCTTCTGTCGAGTTTTGAAAAGCATCCATTGTCCCATCAGCTCTCCGTTGACCTTCTATGGGGTTTTGAGAAGGAACTGCTGTCCCATCAGCTCTCAGCTGACCTTCGATAGGGTTTCGAGAAGGATCCATTGTCCCATCAGCTCTCCGTTCACCTTCTATAGAATTTTGAGAAGGATCCATTGTCCCATCAGCTCTCCGTTGACCTTCTATAGGGTTTCGAGAAGGATCCGTTGTCCCATCAGCTCTCCGTTGACCTTCGATAGGGTTTCGAGAAGGATCCGTTGTCCCATCAGCTCTCCGTTGACCTTCTGTAGGGTTTCGAGAAGGATCCATTGTCCCATCAGCTCTCTGTTGACCTTCTCTAGGGTTTCGAGAAGGATCCGTTGTCCCATCAGCTCTCTGTTGACCTTCTATAGGGTTTCGAGAAGGATCCATTGTCCCATCAGCTCTCCGTTGACTTTCTATAGGGTTTCGAGAAGGATCCATTGTCCCATCAGCTCTCCATTGACCTATGCGGTTTCGAGAAGGAACTGTTGTCCCATCAGCTCTCTGTTGACCTTCTATAGGGTTCTGAGAAGGATCCATTGTCCCATCAGCTCTCCATTGACCTTCTATAGGGTTTTGAGAAGGATCCGTTGTCCCATCAGCTCTCTGTTGACCTTCTATAGGGTTTTGAGAAGGATCCATTGTCCCATCAGCTCTCCATTGATCTTCTATAGGTTTTCGAGAAGGATCCATTGACCAATCAGCTCTCCGTTGAGCATCTATAGGGTTTTGAGAAGGCTCACTTGTCCTCCTTTGACCTCCATAATGCTCCAAACACTCGGCCATGGAGGACTTCATTGGATGGCGGTCCTCTCCGCTGTAAACTTTAGCTGAAAGGTTGTGTTTTTCTAGCGAAAGTTCTGTGTTGTTTCCTTTCCAGAACTCCGCCTCGCCACCAATATATTTCTCCAAAGTCCCCGGCATGGAGTTCCTTTGCTTCTGGAACCGAGCCGAAGTTGCAGGCGGCTTGAACGAGTCTGGAACGAAACCGAACGATTCCTCCTCCGTGTTGTTGACATCCTTCTCCGCGGTATAACGAGCATCGAAACTGACGGGGCGAACGGACCCGTTTTCGGCGGGAGTTTTTGGCATTGATGGTGGGATCCTCGCAAAGTGGGGCTTTGGCGGGATGACGGGGAAGGACTTGACTTGCTGGATGCAGACGGTGCTGGAGGTCAGCCTCATGTGGACGCTCCCGTCTGAAAGCTTGGACTTGAAAGCCTTTGGAGCTTCATGAAGAGTCTTTGGGAGGAGAGCCTCAAGTGATACGACATCAGGTTCTATGGAGCCACCATGTAAATAAACATCATCAGGAACTGAAGAATAATCTTCAGAACTTCGGCCCAACGAAGTGGACAGGTGACCATCAAATGTGGTGAGATGTTCCACAAGAGAAGGGTCCAAGTCTTCAATCCACAGCAGATCCATGTCATCATGTGAGAGCTCCATATAGCGGTCAGAACTTTTAGTGAGCTCTGAAAAGGAAAGGTCCATCTTCTGCTCGTTTTGAGGTCCGAGCTGCCACTCAACTTCAACGCTTGTAGAAGTTGTCTCCGAACCTGTAGGTTTTGGGAGACATTCTCTTAAGGCTTGCTCAGTTGTCTCCACCTGCAAGTCGTCTCTGTTTCTTGCTTCCAAGACTAAACTTTCTTTCTCAGGCTTTGTTGATTCGTGGAAATGACAATTCGGATTTGGAGAGACCGCTGGCTCTTTCCCGGTCCGATCGGTCGATTCCGGACAACACATTGAGAAAACAGCTGACTCTTTCCCAGTTGGATTGGTTGATTCTGGATGACACATTGAGAAAACAGCTGACTCTTTCCCGGTTGGATTGGTCAATTCCGGATGACACTTCGAGAAAACAGCTGACTCTTTCCTGGACGGATTGGTCGATTCTGGACGACACATCGAGGAAACAGCTGACTCTTTCCCGGTTGGATTGATCAATTCCGGATGACACTTCGAGAAAACAGCTGACTCTTTCCCGGTTGAATTGGTTGATTCCGGATGACACGTCGAGAAAACAGCTGACTCTTTCCCGGTCAGATCGGTTGATTCTGGACGACACGTCGAAGAAACAGCTGACTCTTTCTCGGTTGGATTGATCAATTCCGGATGACACTTCGAGAAAACAGCTGACTCTTTCCTGGTCAGATTGGTCGATTCTGGACGACACATCGAGGAAACAGCTGACTCTTTCCTGGTCAGATTGGTCGATTCTGGACGACACATCGAGGAAACAGCTGACTCTTTCCCGGTTGAATTGGTTGATTCCGGATGACACTTCAAGAAAACAGCTGACTCTTTCTGGGTCGGATTGGTCGATTCTGGACAAGACATTGAGGAAACGGCTGACTCTTTCCGGGTCCGATCGGTTGATTCTGGAAGACACGTTGGTGAAACAGCTGATTCTTTCCCGGTCGGGTCGGTGGATTCCAGACAACACATCGGCAAAACAGCTGGCTCTTTCCCAGTCCGATCGGAATGTTGGCAATAGTCAGGCAAGTCGTGAGAACGAGCTTTCCTTCCAAAGAAATGGGGATCGGTTGAGTCTACTAGAGGTGAACCTCCAGTGATATCGATGGATCGGTCGTCTTCTTCTCTTCTCTCATCCAGCTGCTCGGCTTTGTTGGCCAAAGGGCTGAGGTCATCAAAAGCACTCAGGTAGACTTCCTCGGGATCGGCTTCCTTGCCGTCGGGGCAGGCCATGGCCAGGTAATATTGGTCGTCCTCCTCCTCCGAATGCTCGTTCATGCACTCCTCGATGGACAGGTAGTTCAGCGGTGGAAGAGAAGAGAACAAATCCAACTAGGAGAGGAAGAAGAGCGTGAGGTTAGAGGAGCCAAGCTTCATTCTAGTCACGTCTTGAATGTAAACAAGGTGGGAATGTATATATAGGCAGTCCCCAAGTTAGTTATAGGGTAGTAATATATAACAACAACAACAACAACGGTAGATCCACACTGAAGAACTTTTAGTTTTACATGGCTTTTAGTCCATGGTTGTAAATTGTAATTTATCTGTCTATATATATATATATATATATATATATATATATATATATATAATAAAAGTCCATGTTTGTATGTATGCATGCATGTATGTATGTATGTATGTATGGGTAGATTAGTAGATAGGCAGATAAGTAGATATATAAACACCCTATAAATATAATAATATAGTATAATAAATTGTAATTTATCTGTCTATATATATATATATATAATAAAAGTCCATGTTTGTATGTATGCATGTATGTATGTATGTATGTATGTATGTATGTATGTATGTATAGGTAGATTAGTAGATGACAGATAGGCAGATAAGTAGATATATAAACACCCTATAAATATAATAATATAGTATAATAAATTGTAATTTATCTGTGTATATATATATATATATATATATATATATATATATATATATATAATAAAAGTCCATGTTTGTATGTATGCATGTATGTATGTATGTATGTATGTATGTATAGGTAGATTAGTAGATGATAGATAGGCAGATAAGTAGATATATAAACACCCTATAAATATAATAATATAGTATAATAAATTGTAATTTATCTGTCTATATATAATAAGTGAATGTTTGTATGTGGAGGGAGGGTGGTGTATGTGGCAGCTTTCTGATTGGCTGCCACTTTCACAGGCCACTGTGACCAGCACGGGTGACGGATCTGGACTAAACTTGGTACACCTAACCCCCATGACCCCCTTTATGTCCTGGTGCGGTTTGGGGGAGGATGGACCATGGATGATGGGATTTGTATTACTTTCAAATGCTTGGGCACCCACAGACCACTGCGGCCCCCAACAATGACAGATCAGCACCAAACTTGGCACACAGGCCCCTCCATGACCTGCTTTACATCCTGGTGCAGTTTGGGGGAGGATGAACCATGAATGATGGGACTTGTAGTACCATCACTCATTACTTGAGACAATTGCGACCCACACCAATGGTTGATCAAGACCACACTTGGCACACAGAGCCCTCATGACCCACTCTACATCTTGGTGCAGTTTGGAGGAGAATGGACCATGGATGATGGGACTTGCAGTAACTTCACTCATTTCTTGAGACAATTGTGACCCACACCAATGGTTGATCAAGACAATACTTGGCACACAGAGCCCCCATGACCCACTCTACATCCTGGTACAGTTTGGAGGAGGATGGACCATGGGTGATGGGACTTGCATATGGGAGTTGTAGTTCACCCGCACTTACTGAACCAAGCCGACATTGGATCTAGACTAAACTTGGAGCACAACCCTGGCACCGCCAAACTAGTATAATATAAATACCACAAGCACAAACCTAAATACCAGAAGCACCAATACGAACACTAGAGTATGACAAAGACAAGGAATGGGGAAATAGGGTTTTTCCGAGGGTTTCGAGCCCACCTGCATGCCGCCTCCGATGATCTGGTTCATGATCCCAGTCCCCACGTCATCCTCCACGGGCCCCCCGAAAGGGCTCTTTTGGGGCTCTTCCAGCCAGGCCTCTTGGCTGTCCAAGAACGAGAAGGAGTCCTGCACTTCCATCGACATCCGGTTCTCCTCCGAGTCGCCCGTTTTGGCTTCGGCTTCAATGGGGAAACAAAGTCAGGGTGAGTCCCGGATTCAGGGCAGGGACCAGGTATATGATTGTCCAACAATTCCCCCCATACTGCCTTGGGTCTTCGGAGGTATAGAAATGCCCCATAGAAATGAATCAGTGTAGTGTACACTGTCTTCCTCTCCATCCCAGGTATGGGTGGTTCATCAATTACATACATTACATACAGTAGAGTCTCGCTTGTCTATATATATAAAAAAGTAATGTTCGTTTGTGGGATTAGCATAACTCAAAATTTGGACACTATACCCCTAACAGACTAATAAGTGGCCATCACTCATAAAACCTCCCCAAAAACAGTGGAAAGGACTTAAAAACCCCAAAAAGCTAAATGACAATACAGAAAAAAAGGAAGGAAGAGGGAGGGAAGGAAGGGAAGAAAGAAAGAAAGAAAGAAGGAAGGAAGGAAAGAGAGAAGGAAGGATGCAAGCAAAGAGCAAAGGAAGGAAGGGAAGAGGTACAGAAGGAAGGAAGGAGAGAAGGAAAGAAAAAGGGAGAAGGAAGGAAGGAGAGAAAGGAGAAGGAAAAGTAAAAGGGGGGAAGGAAGGAAAGAGGTAGAGAAGGAAGGAAGGAAGGAGAAGGAAAAGAAAAAGGGGGAAGGAAGGGAAGAGGTAGAGAAGGAAGGAAGGAGAGAAGGAAAGAAAAAGGGAGAGGAAGGAAAGATGGARCRAAGGAAGGARAGAAAGWGGGAAGGAAAGARAGWAAGAAAGAAAGAGAGAAGGAAGGATGGRAGAAAAAAGYGAAKGAAGGAAGGGAAGAGGTARAGAAGGAAGGAAGGAGAGAAAGSAGAAGKAAAAGAAAAAGGGGGGAAGGAAGGAAAGAGGTAGAGAAGGAAGGAAGGAGAGAAGGAAAAAAGGGAAAGGAAGGAAAGATGGAGCGAAGGAAGGAAAGAAGAAAAGAGAGAAGGAAAGATGTAAGCAAAAAGCGAAGGAAGGAAGGAAAGAGGTAGAGAAGGAAGAACGGAGAGAAAGAAAGGAAAGGAAGGAAAGAGGGAGAGTAGGAAGGAGGGCAAGAAGGATGGAAAGAGGGAGGGAAGGTTGGCCACAGCAACCTGTGGCGGGTACAGCTAGTCCGACATAAATGGATCAAGAGAATGTCGGATAAATGTTTGATAATACGGAGTCTCCTACTGTTTCCCGTCCAATGCAGCGCTAAAATACTAACAACAGGAACTCAAAGGTTTAAGGCAAGGTGATGCCTCAGGGCTAGAGAGGCTCAGCAAGAAGTGCCCGGATGTGGAAGAGGAGCGTGGAAATCAAGAGGGAAGGAGGGAGGACACTCTTCCTCCTCTTTCCTCCCTCTTCCTCCTCTTCCTCCTCGTCTTGCCTTTTTCACTTATTGAGAATGGAGTAAGAGTTGGGGAATGCTCTCCATTATTTGAAGGGGAAATGCTGGAGGAAAAGGGGATCGGCGTCGGATCAGATCATTGGATAAGACACCAATTTGGGGCAGAAGATGCCTAACGGACCAACGAGTGACCATCACTCATAAAACGCAGAAAAACACAGTGGAAGGGACTTAAAAACCCAAAAAACTAAATGATGATACAGTGCATGCGCAGAAACAACTCCCCTGGCCCCGCCCCCCTCTTCCATGACAAGCAGGCCATACCAATCGTTCAATAATTATTAGTTTAGTGTTTTACTGATTTAATAATCTATATAAATAATATAATATAATAATAAACTTTATTTATACCCCGCAACCATCTCCCCCAGCGGTGGCTCGGGGTGGCTTACATGAGGCCAAGTCCAAACAACAAATTACAATGAAATAAAATACATAAAAATATAATGTTAGTTTGTGGTATTAACATAACACAAAAACCACTGGGCGAATTGATACCAAATTTGGACACAAGACACCTCTCAGGCCAACAAGTGACCATCACTCACAAAAATACAGAAAAACACAATGAAAGGGACTTAAAAAGCCAAAAAAACCCCAAAATTACATTACAACGCATGTGTAAAATCACACACACACACACACATATATACACAAACACACATATATACAAATATACACAAATATATATACACACATATACACACACAAAACACATATGACCAGGCTGGGCCACAGCAGCACATGACAGGGGATGGCTAGTAATCTATATAAATAAAAATGTTCTGTTTGTTTGTGGGATGAACATAACTCAAAAACTACTGGACGAATTGACACCAAATTTGGACACAAGACACCTCTCCGGCCAACGAGTGAACATCACTCATAAAAACACGGAAAAACACAATGGAAGGGACTTAAACAGCCAAAAAATACATTACAACGCATGCGCATAACCACATATATATACACAAACACACATATATACACAAACCCCCCAAAATTACATTACAATGTATGTGCATAACCATACACACACACACACATATATACACAAAACACATATACACAGACTGGGCCACAGCAACACATGGCAGGGGATGGCTAGTACATTTCATAAAAACGTGAAAGGGTCACAGAGGTACACCAGCGGTTCTCAACCTGGGGGTTGCAACCCCCAGGGGGGTCGTTGGGCCATTTTGGGGGGTCGCGAAGCTGCCAAATTTGTGCCAAATTTGGTCCAGTGAATGAAAATACATCCCGCATTTCAGATATTTACATTATGATTCATAAGAATAACACAATTACAATAAGAATAATTTTATGGTTGGGGGTCACCACAACGTGAGGTGTTGTATTAAGGGGTCGTGGCATTAGGAAGGTTGAGAACCACTGTTGTACACGGTTTCATTCTCTCCATCCCAGGTACGGACGGTTCGTCCACTCACTTGCAAGCTTGTCCTCGTCGGCGGCCGCTGCAATGGTCATCGTGTCCTGGGTGTCCTTAGACGACCCTTCCTTCTCCTCCTCTGGGGTGGCGCAGTGGCTCAAGGCCGGACACTCCAAGCCTCGGGTCAGTCGGGACAAGGTCAGGTTGGAGGTGATGTGGAAGGGCACGGTGACTGAGAGTGGGCCGGAGATGTGGACGCCCAGGCACTTCTCGGCCCGGTTACGCCCGCTCTTGGGTGACCGGCCTTGGCGGGGACTGCTGTTTGAACTACCCAACGCGCCGGACCGGCCAGTTTTGGGTGTGGTAGGCTCCGACTTGGCCGTGGCTGATTCACCCTCCTCCTCAGACTTGCTGACCACTGCCGCCTCCACTTTGGCCTTCTCAGGACACTCGCCGGATGACAAGAAGCTGATATCGAGGGAGGCCGGGCCGTCGAAGCTCTCTCGTCCGAGGGTCAGCAGCTTCTTCTGTGACGTTTTCCTCCCGAGGTCAGCCTCGTCTGCTTCCAAAGAACAGGAAATAGTGACAAAAGGCCAATGTGATTCTAATTATTATTATTATTATTAGTAGTAGTAGTAGTAAGCCGCCTCATGTAAGCTGCCCCGAGTCCCCTTGGGGAGATAGTGGTGGGGTATAAATACAGTATTATTATTATTATTATTAATAATAATATAATATTATTATTAGATGACTCCCCACTCTGCTGGCTATTGTTTTGAATCATACATCAGACACTTCCCAAGTGGTGTTGTTGTTGTTGTTGTTATTGTTATGTTGTTGTTGTTTATGTTTATTTATACCTTGCTCATAGCTCACAATTGGTTGGACGCCTTCTTTGGAACATGAGACCGGTCTGGGATCCACTCCAATAATAATAATAATAATAATAATAATAATAATAATAATAATAATAATAATAATTTATTAGTGTATTATTGTTATATCAGCAGCTTATAAAGCTACAAAACAGGAGCTTTTTTGTTGAGTTCCAGGGCCAGAGAAGCAGATGGCAGAAACAGAAGAACGGCCTGCCTCCGTGGAGCGTGCTTGCTCCATCCATGTTCAACATTTACACAAATGACTAGCCACTGCCAGAAGGGATAGAGAGTTTCTTCTATGCTGACGATCATGCCATCACCGCCCAAGCAGAGAGCTTTGAAATGGCTGAAGAGAAGCACTCCAAAGGTCAGTGTTTCTCAATGCCTCTTAATACAGTTCCTCATGTTTAACATTGACACGAATGACCAGCCATTGCCAGAAGAGACAGAGTTTCATCTATGCCGATGATCATGTCATCACCGCTCAAGTAGGGAGCTTTGAAACGATTTAACAGAAGCTCTCCAAAACTTTAGGTGCTCTTACTGCTTATTACAGGGAAAACCAGCTTGCTCCATCCATGTTTAACATTTACAGTAATGGCCAGCCACTGCCAGAAAGGGATAGAGAGTCTCATCTATGCTGATGATCGTGCCATCACCACCCTAGCAGGGAGCTTTGAGATGGTTGAACTGAAGCTCTCTGAAGCTTTAGGTGCTCTTACTGCCTATTACGGGGGAAACCAGCCGATTCCTAATCCATCTATGCTGACGATCATGCCATTACCGCTCAAGCAGGGAGTTTTGAAGCTTTAGGTGCTCTTATTGTCTATTACAGGGGAAACCAGCCGATTCCCAATCCATCTATGCTGACGATCGTGCCATCACCACCCATCTCAAAGCGGGAAGCTTTGAGATGGTTGAACTGAAGCTCTCTGAAGCTTTAGGTGCTCTTACTGCTTGTTACAGGGGAAACCAGCTGATCCCTAATCCATCTAAAATGCAGATATATGCTTTTCACCTTAAGAACAGACAAGAATCTCGAGCTCTGAGGATGACCTGGGAAGGAATCCCATTGGAGCATTGCAGCACCCCAAATACCTGGGAGTCATTCTGGACCGTGCTCTGACTTATAAGAGGCACTGTTTGACTATCTAGCAAAAAGTGGGTGCTAGAAATAACATTGTACGAAAGCTGACTGGCATATCCTGGGGTTCACAACTAGACACAGTGACGGCATTTGCCCTTGCGCTTTGCTACTCTGCTGCTGAGTATGCATGCCCAACACGCTATAACAATGGATGTGGTGCATTTTGTTCGTTTTTCAATGAGTATCTCATCAAATTCCAATCAATTCCACATAGTTTGAAGCACTACAACAACATTTCTGGAGTAGAACGACCGCTTACCATTTCCTGCGCACGGAACCGAGCTGAGTGAATCCATGCTCTTCGCCGGCCGTAGGCGTAGCTTTCCGGATTTATAATCTGAAACAGAAAGTCATCAATTCGATGTCATTGGAAACCATCCTTCCCTCTCCCGTAAGTCTTTCCCGAGCCTTTCATTTTTCCTTCTCCTCTTCCTCTCTCCAGCTGGAGGCTTTTTAGCAGCCTCAGAACTAGGATCCTGCCGGAATCCCACTGCAAAATGCCTCGATCAATGGATTTGAAAGATCGGCGATCGATATTCATCCTCGTTACCTTTGTCCTCCGTTTTGACGAATTTCCGCTTGGCGTCTTGGCTGTAGCGGCCGAGGTTGAAGATGGACTTCCATTTCTTTCCTTTGAGGGAGCCTTTCCTTCTAGGAAGAATTGGGGGTCAGAAGATCAACATGTGGGTGGGAGGAGCCAAAGACAAAGGGGTGTGGCCAAGAGCAAGGGGCGTGGTCAATTGGGAAAGGGAGGTGTCAAATACTCCTGTGGGAGGAGCCAAAGGCAAAGGGGTGTGGCCTAGAGCAAGGGGCATGGCCAATGGGGAAAGGGCGGTGTCAAATACTCCTGCGGGAGGAGCCAAGGGCAAAGAGGGTGTGGCCAAGAGCAAGGGGCGTGGTCAATGGGGATAGGGCGGTGTCAAATACTCATGTGGGAGGAGTCAAAGTTGAAAGGGGCGTGGTCTATGGGACAAGGGTGGTGTCAAATACTTCTGTGGGAGGAGCCAAGGGCAAAGGGGGTGTGGCCAAGAGCAAGGGGCGTGGTCAATGGGGAAAGGTCGGTGCCAAAAACTCCTGTGGGAGGAGCCAAGGGCAAAGAGGGTCTAGCTAAGAGCAAGGGGCGTGATCAATGGGGATAGGGCGGTACCAAATATTCCTATGGGAGGAGCCAAAGTTGAAAGGGGTGTGACCAAGAGCAAGGGGTGTGGCCAATGGGGATAGGGCGGTGTCAAATACTCCTGTGGGAGGAGCCAAAGGTGAAGAGGGTGTGGCCAAGAGCAAGAGGCGTGGTCAATGGAGAAAGGGCGGTGTCAAATACTCCTGTGGGAGGAGTCAAAGTTGAAAGGGGCGTGGTCAATGGGGAAAGGGTGGTGTCAAATAGTCCTGTGGGAGGACCCAAAGATGAAAGGAGTGTGGCCAAGAGCAAGGGGCGTGGTCAATGGAGATAGGGCAGTGTCAAATACTCCTGTAGGAGGAGCCAAGGGCAAAAAGGGTGTGGCCAAAGGCATGGGGCCCGGTCAATGGGGTTAGGGCGGTGTCAAATATTCCTGTGGGAGGAGCCAAAGTTGAAAGGGGTGTGGTTAATGGAGAAAGGGTGGTGTCAAATACTCATGTAGGAGGAGCCAAAGGTGAAGGGGTGTGGTCAATGGAGAAAGTGTGGTGTCAAATACTCCTGTGGGAGGAGCCAAAGGCAAAGGGAGTGTGTCCTAGAGCAAGGGGCATGGTCAATGGGGATAGGGCAGTGTCAAATACTCATGTGGGAGGAGTCAAAGTTGAAAGGGGCGTGGTCTATGGGGAAAGGGTGGTGTCAAACAGTCATGTAGGAGGACCCAAAGATGAAAGGGGTGTGGCCAAGAGCAAGGGACGTGGTCAATGGAGATAGGGCAGTGTGAAATACTCCTGTAGGCAGAGCCAAGGGCAAAAAGGGTGTGGCCAAAGGCAAGGGGCCTGGTCAATGGGGATAGGGCGGTGTCAAATATTCCTGTGGGAGGAGCCAAAGGTGAAGGGGGTGTGGCCTAGAGCAAGGGGCCTGGTCAATGGGGGAAAGGGCAGTGTCAAATACTCCTGTGGGAGGAGCCAAAAGAGAAGGGGGTGTGACCAAAAGGAATGGGCGTGGTCAAAGGGAATGGCGGTGCATTTGAGACGTTCAGGGGGTTCATTCTGTTGTTGGGAGGAGTCAATGGCAAAAGGGGTGGGGCCAAGCACAAAAATGTGAGTTTTGCCGTTGGCCAGAGCTATTTCTCCTTTGGCTCCTCTCACAGCAGGTGGGAGGAACGACAAGCAAAAGAGGAGTGGTCATTAGCCCAAAGGGGGTGGGGACAAAATATTCACATATTTAAATTCTTATATTTAGGGCCAACGAATAGCGCCTACTTGCTGTCGCTGAGCTCAATGATGGTGTGGTACGGGCGCATCTGCGGTGGGCCGTCGCCTTGGTTCAACATGGTGGGGACATTGTATGAGAAGCAGCATTTCTCATCCGTGAGAGGAAGTGGTGACCCCATGAGGAGGAGGGACTTCCTGAGAGACTCACGGGTGCCCCCTGTTGGCAGAAAGAAGCACCCCAATATGTTATATTCAGATTATGACCCCCATTTTGAGATGGACCATAGACAAAAAAGGAGGTTTTGGGGTGCCATAGTCCCATAGATTTGACCCTCTCACCTCTCCTTTCCTTACGAGCAAAGTTCCCCTATATTGACGACTTACCGGTTGTCTCCCACCTGATGATGGATACTCAATCACATCCTGGTCTGAATGTGTTAAAATTAGTGTTGTTTTTTCAAAAATTATATTGTTTAATAGGATCATGTGGGTTTTCAGCTAAGCTTTCTTGGATTTTTCTCACATCTGGAACATGATGTGTTTGAACTACAACCAGGAGGTCATCAACATACAGTAATGTTGCTTGGTGGACAATTAGGAGGTTGTAGGTGTTATAACTTGGCTCGATGGACAATTGAGGTCCTCAACATACAATAATGTTGCTTGGTGGACAACTAGGACATTGTCTAGGTATGTTAACTTTGCTCGATGGACAACCAGGAGGTTGTCAACATACAGTAACCTTGCTTGGTGAAAAACTAGGACGTTGTCTAGGTATGATAACTTTGCTTGATGGACAACCAGGAGGTCATCAAGATACAGTAATGTTGCTTGGTGGACAACTAGGAGGTTGTCTAGGTATTATAATTTTGCTTGATGGACAACCAGGAGGTTGTCAACATACAGTAATGTTACTTGGTGGACAACTAGGAGGTTGTCTAGGTGTTATAACTTGGCTCGATGGACAATTGGAGGTGTCAACATACAATAATGTTGCTTGGTGGACAATTAGGACATTGTCTAAGTATGATAACTTTGCTTGATGGACAACCAGGAGGTCATCAAGATACAGTAATGTTGCCTGGTGGACAACTAGGAGATTGTCTAGGTATGAGAACTTCGCTTGATGGACAACCAGGAGGTTGTCAATATACAATAATGTTGCTTGGTGGACAACTAGGAGGTTGCTTAGGTATGGTAACTTTGCTCGATGGACAACCAGGAGTTTGTCTACATACAGTAACTTTGCTCACAAGGAAAGGAGAGGGTTCCTTATTGGGAAGTGAATGGGGTTGTCCTACCGCGGAGAGGAGCATCTCCGAAGATCTGCTCAACATGAGTGAGGATGAATTCCACCACGATGGACTGGATGCGGACCTCCATGAAGGCTGCCGTGCCATTGAAACCCGATGTCTCAATGTCCTTTGACCTACGGAGAGATATTTTGGGGTCATGTTTGAGCCAAGTTCACACCAATCACAAATTATTATTATTATTATTATTATTATTATTATTATTATTATTATGGGTCCACGGGGTGGATGTTCCATCCCTGAGGTGCCTCACGTTCTCACCTGAGGAGGTTGGGAGCCCAGACAATGGCCAAGTTCCGGACATGCATGTTGGTCTGGGGGCTGAAGGAGGCCATGCGGACCAGGTGCTTCATCAGGAACTCCAAGGTCCTGGAAGGACAGAACGGAGGAAGGAAGAAGAAAATGAAAGTCTCAATCCATGGGATTTTGGGTGAAGATGGTGTGACCCCCTCTCGTTGTATTTTAATTCAATTTAATTACAGTATGATCCTTGTATCAAGGAAGGACTTTGGTATGGAAGCAGTGGGTAAGAATGAACCCAAATGAATGAATGAATGGAGTGTGCCACAGAAATGCGCTAGAGGACCTAGGAAATACCTAGAGAGAACTCCTCTTGACTATGGTCAAATCCAACCAGGTGCATACCATATAGGGTCACACTGGAAGACCATAGAAATGCCTAGAGATGACTTCTCTTGATTCTGTGGTCAAATCACACTGGCCACATACCATAGAAGCACACTGGAAGACTATGGAAATACCTAGTGACTTCTCGACTCTATGGTCAACTCCCAGTAGCCACATACCATAGAGTCACACTGGAAGACCATGCCATAGAAATGCCTAGAGGTGATACTTCTTGACTTTATGGACAACTCCCAGCAGCCACATACCATAAAGTCACACTGGAAGACCATACCATGGAAATGCCTAGAGGTGACACTTCTTGATTTTATGGTCAACTCCCAGCAGCTACATACCATAGAGTCACACTGGAAGACCATGCCATAGAAATGCCTAGAGATTACACTTCTTGATGTTATGGTCAACTCCCAGCAGCCATATACCAAAGAGTCACAATGGAAGACCATGGAAGTGCCTAAATATGACACTTCTTGACTTTGTGGTCAACTCCCAGTAGCTATTTCCATAGAGTCACTCTGAAATACCAAGAAAATGCCTAGGGAAGACTCCTCTTGATTCTATGGTCAGCCCTCATCAGATGCTTACCATAGAGTCACACAGGACGACCAAGGAAATGCCTAGAAATGATTCCTCTCGATCCGATGGTCAAATCCCACTGGACACATACCATAGAGTCACACTGGAAGACTAAGGAAATGCCTAGTGGCCTCTCAACTCTATGGTCAACTCCCAGCTGCCACATACCATAGAGTCACACTGGAAGACCAAGAAAATTCTGAGAGAAGACTCCTCTTGATTCTATGGTCAGCCCGCAGCAGCTGCTTACCATAGAGTCACAATGGAATACCAAGGAAATGCCTAGAGAGGACACTTCCCAACTCTGTATTCAACTTCCTATGGCTTTGGAGTCTCATCACTTACCTGTAATGAGGAGGAGGGAGCTCCTTCAACACCTCTTTGATCTTCTCCAGCCGCCCCTCTTCCAACTGGATGGCCACTGCTTCCTGGGTCAAGGGGAAAGGAATCTATGGTCAATCCCGAGTGGAAGCAAACCATTGAGTGGAGCTGGAAGACTTAAGAAAAGGCCTAGAGGGGTCACCTCCTCGGCACTCACCGCAAATTTGTCATAGAGTTGGTAAGTGAGGAGTGGGTTGGGCAGCTCCCGGAAGTAGGCCTTGCAGAGGGAGCTGACACAGTGGATGTCCTGCAGGTAGACGTCCTTATTGAGGTCAGGTGTCCGCTCTGTGTCGAACTCCAGCCTGGAAGAATGGATGGAAAAGAGAAGCATCATGGGAACATCAGGATGATACCCTTGATGAAGAGACCCACCTGGTTGACTCTTCTAATGTCCAAGAGCATCTTGTGAATTGACCTTGGGAAATTATCTAATATAAGCGAGGCATGGGCAAACTTGGGCCCTCCAGGTGTTTTGGTCTTCTACATAAACATCTGGAGATGATGCCATCTGGAGAACATGGCCACGCTGTCCAGAAAACCCATGAAAGCCTTCAACAACACCTTAATAAAATTATTTGGAACACAAAGTATGTCCAAGGAGAGCCTCACCTGAGCTTCTGGATGTTGGAGGAGACCCCTGAGAGCCGGTAGATCCCATCCACGATCCCGTGGTGCTCCACAAACTCCGTGCAGCTCTTCAGGACCTGTGGGACTGGATCCATTACAGGGGAATTAGTCTGGATAGTGGCAAGCAACATGCTCATCCACTGCCTTCAAGCTCTCTCGAATTTGGCCCTCTCTGTCCGTGGTTAACTAGGACCGCTGTTAAAGAGGATCTGTGCCCGGCGAGCATATGCTAAACCGAATGGGCCAGGAACAGAGAAACTCACTTATATATTAGTATGTATGGGCTTTCCCCCACCCAAAATAAAGATATTTTTTCAAATAAATTAGATTATTTTTATATATTATTAGGAACCCGGAAGACCAGATTCAGCGTGAATGGGTTTGGTTTCAGTCTCTCAGCCTCGGAGAAAGGCAAAGGCAAGTTTTGGGAGAAGTCTTGCACACCAGTCTCTGATTTCGTTCCTTTTGGAGCTGGCTTGCCAGCGAGTTAGGCATTGGATGCTCCGGATTTTCACTCTCTTCGGGTCCAAGATGGGGTCCAGCCATCCCGCAGCCCTATCTCACGACAGAATCGGTTTTCCTCGCCTTCCAAGCCTCTTCCTTGGGCAGAAAGGAAGAGTTGACTTTTCTAGTTCGTGCTGCCTTGGCAAGTAAATCCCAAATGGGATTCAAAACAGATACTTTAAATACTTCTATTATCATTTTACTGACTCCAAAACACAGTCATCACACTAGAGAATGAATCCACTTTAAATCTGTTTGCTGCCTCCTGCAGAATTCTGGGGTTTGTAGTTTAGGGAGGAGCTTTTAATCCTCCCTAAATTACAAATCCCAGAATTCTGCAGGAGGCAGAAACCGGATTTAAAGTGGATTCATTCTCTAGTGTGACGAAGTAGTATGAGTTTCCTATCACAAAATCACAAGTCGATTTTGTTATCTATTATTATTATTATTATTATTATTATTATTATTATTATTATTATTGCTAGCCGTTCCCTGCCACGCGTTGCTGTGGCCCAGTCTGTGTATATGTGTTTTGTGTGCGTATATGTGCATGTATATTTTTGTGTTTATGTGTATATATGTGTTTGCATGTATATGTGTGTGTGTGTGTGTTTGCGTGTGTGTGTGTATGTATATATTAGGCTTGGGCGGTTTCGTTCGTTAATTTCGTAATTCGTTATTAATTCGTATTTAAATTAGCTTACAATCCGATATTGAGCCATTTTGGAATAGTGTGAGGAGTAATTAAGAATCGAAACAATTTTCCAATTTTCGTAATTATTTCGTAATTATTTTCGTAATATAATAATATATAATATATAATACAATATATTATAATAATATAATAATATAATATACAATAATATAATATAATAATATAATATACAATAATATAATATAATAATATAATATACAATAATATGGGGACATGGAAGTGCCCGGGCTATTTGAGAAAGGCATTGTTTGTCTATTCTCCAAGTTTAGTCTAGATCCAATGTCAGATGGGTCCAGTGAGTGAGGGTGAACTACAACTCCCATATGCAAATCCCATCACCCAAGGTCCATTCTCCTCCAAACCGTACCAGGATGTAGAGTGTTTCATGGGGGCTCTGTGTGCCAAGTTTGGTCTTTGTTTTCACTTTTATTATGTGTGTGTGTGTGTGTGTGTGTGTATATATATATATATATATATATATATATAGAGAGAGAGAGAGAGAGAGAGAGAGAGAGAGAGAGAGATGCATATTTTAATGTATATATTTTACTATTATTATTATTATTATGTATATTTATTTTTATATTATTTAAATTTCAAGACTCCCTGCTTGGGAGGTGATGGCACGATCATCAGCGTATATTAAAATCTCTGTCCCTTTTGGCAGTGGCTGGCCTTTGTGTAGATGTTAAACATGAGGAACTCTATGAATGGGTTGCGGCATTATGAAGGTTGAGAAACATTGACCTAAAGTTTTGGGGAGGTTCTGTTCAACCATCTCAAAGCTCCCTGCTTGGGCAGTGATGGCACGATCATCAGCGTATGTTAAACTCTCTGTCCCTTCTGGCAGTGGCTGGCCATTTGTGTAAATGTTAAACACAAAGAACTCTATTAATGGGTCGCAGCATTACAAAGGTTGAGAAACACTGACCTAAAGCTTCGGGGAGCTTCTGTTCAGCCTTTTCAAAGCTCTCTGCTTGGGCGGTGATGGCACTGTCGTCAGCATATGTTAAACTCTCTGTCCCTTCTGGCAGTGGCTGGTCATTTGTGTAGATGTTAAACACAAGGCCGTGTATTAAGAGGCATTAGGCAGGTGGAGAAACAATGACCTAAAGCTTTGGAAAGCCTCTGTTCAGCCTTTTCAAAGCTCCCTGCTTGGGCGGTGATGACACAATCGTCAGTGTATGTGGCTGATCATTTGTGTAGATGATAAACATTGTTGGAGCAAACACGCTCCCCAGAGGCAGGGCCTTCATCTGTTTCCACCATCTGATTCTTTGGCCCAGAAACTCAACAAAAAAGCTCCTGTTTTGTAGCAGGTTTCCTATGAGGCGGGTGGAAGGTGCTGAACCTATCTGTTCGCCAATGTGAAACGAGCCAGAAATGAAGCTCCTTTTTGTTGTGTCTCCCTTGATTCTTGCTCAACGTCCTGATTGTGTTTTTTTTCGCAATGCTGCAAATCCTCTACGCTGAATACGGAAACTGTTCACGTCTCCTCCCTTTTGCTCGTCTTATATAAGCTTTGCTTGCTTGCTTTCAAACTTTGCAACCAACCTGCTTCCTGTGTGCATGTTTTGCTTTGGACACATTTTCCCCCAAAAGTGCCACTTTCTGCTCAGAAAAAAAAATTATCTACCAAACTTATAAGACTCGACCTTCCATATTATTTTGGACCATAAAGTTTCAACCTTCTAGGGTTAGTAGTTTTTCCATATTATAAATCCTCCTACTTACTTACTTGGGCGATCCCTCGTAGGCCAAGGATGATGGTCCTCCAAGACCTACCAATCCTATAAGTCAACCTTCTTGGTCTTCCATGGCCATCTATTATAATATGGAAGACCTACCAAATCTATAAGCCAGCCTACTTGACCTTCAAGGAAGGGCAATCCCTTATAATATGGAAGACCTACCAACTGTGTAACTCAATCTCATAATCTGGATGATCTACCCACCCTATAAGTCAACCTCCTTGGCCTTCAAGTACGGGACATCTATTATAATATGAAAGACCTAGCCACCCTATAGGTCAACCTTTTTGGCTCTCAAATATGGATGATCTACCAAACATATAAGTCATCTTTTTTGGGCATCCCTTATAGATAATCCAATAAATTAATCTTCTTGGCCTTCAAGGGAGGGCCATCCCATAAAATCTGAAAGACTTTCCAACCCTATAAGTCAAACTTCTTGGCCCTCAAATATGGAAGATCTACCAAACATATATGTCATCTTTCTTGTTCCCTTTATAAGTGGCATCCCTTATAGAAGGCYTAACAACCCAATAAGTATGGAAGACCTACCAACCCAATAAGTATGGAAGACCTACCAACCCTATAAGTCAACCTTCTTGGCCTTCAAGGAAGGGCCATCCCTCATAATATGGAAGACCTACCAACCCTATAAGTCAACCTTCTTGGCCTTCAAGGAAGGGCCATCCCATATAATATGGAAGACCTACCAACCCAATAAGTATGGAAGACCTACTAACCCTATAAGTCAACCTTCTTGGCCTTCAAAGGGCCATCCCTTATAATATGGAAGACCTACCAACCCTAAAAGTTTACTTCCCTGGCCTTCAAGTTAGGGCCATCCCTCATAATATGGAAAACCAACCTACCCTGTAACTCAATCTCATAATAGGGACAATCTATCAACCCTATAAGGCAACCTTCTTGGCCTTCAAGGAATAGCTATCCCTTATAATATGGAAGACCTACTCATCCATAAAAGATCTACCAACCCTATAAGTTAACTTCTTTGATATTTGAGATAGGGGCCATCCCTCACAATATGGAAGACCAACTTACCCTGTAACTCAATCTCATAATAGAGATGACCTACCAATCCCGTAAGTTAACCTTCTTGGCCTTCAAGTGGAGGTCATCTATTATAATACAGGAGGTCTACTGACCCTATATGTCAACCTTCTTGGCCTTCAAGTAAGAGTCATCCCTTATAATATGGAAGACCTACCAACCCAATAAAGAACAATCAAATAGATAATTTTGCAGATAAGGAGTATCTCTTATAATATGGAAGACCTACCAACCTAGAAGTCAACCTTCTTGGCCTTCAAGGAAGGGCCATCCCTTATAATATGGAAGACCTACCAACCCTATAAGTTAACTTCCCTGGCCTTCAAGTTAGGGCCACCCCTCATAATATGGAAGACCAACCTACCCTGTAACTTAATCTCATAATAGGGACAATCTACCAACCATATAAGTCAACTCTTTTGGCCTTCAAGGAATGGCATTCCCTTATAATATGGAAGACCTACCAACCCTATAAGTCAACTTTCTTGGCCTTCAAGGAAGGGCCACCCCTCATAATATGGAAGATCTACCAATCCAATAAGTATGGAAGACCTACCAACCCTATAAGTCAACCTTCTTGGCCTTCAAGAAAGGGCCACCCCTCATAATATGGAAGACCTACCAGCCCAATAAGTATGGAAGACCTACCAACCCTATAAGTCAACCTTCTTGGCCTTCAAGGAAGGGCCACCCCTCACAATATGGAAGACCTACCAACCCTATAAGTTAACTTCCTTGATCTTCAAGTAAGGCCCATCCCTGATAATAATATGGAGAAACAACCAATCTCATAATCCCGACGATCTACCAACCCTAAGGGCAATCCCTCATAATATGGAAGACCTACCAACCCTTCTGGCCTTCAAGGATCATCCCTTATAACCAGAACAATCTACCCACCCTATAAGTTAACTTTCTTGGCCTTCAAGGAAGGTCCATCACTCTACCTACCAACCTAATAAGGCTCAAACTTTCCAGATCTCAAGTAAAGGACACCCCTTGTAATATGTAAGGTCTTCCAATCCTACAAGGGTCAATATTCCTGGCCATCAAATAAGGGGCAGCCCTTATACTTTGCAAGGTCTACCAACCCTCAGATAAGGAGGCTCTCTTATAATATGGAAGACCTACTAAACCAGTTAGCCTTTCTGGCCCTGAAGGATCACCCTTATAGTAGGGATGATCTACCAACCCTATAAGTCAACCTTCTTGCCCCCCTAATAGGAGGTATTCCTTATGGAAGTCCTACCAATCCTATGTCAACCTTCTCAGCCTCCAAGGAAGGAGCATTAATTATAATTTGGAAGACCTACCAATCCTATAAGTCAACCTTCATGGCCCTGAAATATGGACAATCTACCAATCTTATGCCATCTTTCTTGGTCATCTAATAAGTGGTATCCCTTGTAGAAGACCTACCCACTCTGTACGTTAACCTTCTTTGTCTTCAAGTAAGCCTTCTGGTTCTCAAATAAGAGGCATCCCTTGTAATATGGAAAACCTACCAACCCTATAAGTCAACCTTTCTTGGCCTTCATGGAAGGACCATCCTTCATAATAATACAGAAGACCAACCAACTGTGTAACTCAATCTCATAATAGAGACAATCTACAACCACCTTAGGCTTCAAGTAAGGCCCATCCCTTATAATACAGAAGACCTACCAACCCTGTAAATCAACCTTCTTAGCTTTCAAGGAAGGGCTATCCCATAAAATGAAAGCCTTTCCAACCCTATAAGTCAAACTTCTTGGCCCACAAATATGGAAGATTTGTGAATCACAGCACGATACCAACCCTATAAGTGAACTTTCTTGGCCTTCAAGAAAGGGCCACCCCTCATAATATGGAAGACTTACCAACCCTATAAGTCAACCTTCTTCGCTTTCAAGGAAGGACCATCCCTTATAATATGGAAGACCTACCAGCCCTTTAAATATGGAAGACCTACCAACCCTATAAGTCAACCTTTGCCTTCAAGGAAGGGCCATCCCTTATTATAGGGAAGACCTACCAACCCTATAAGTCAACCTTCTTGGCCTTCAAGGAAGGGCCATCCCATATAATATGGAAGACCTACCAACCCAATAAGTATGGGAGACCTACCAACCCTATAAGTCAACCTTCTTGGCCTTCAAAGAAGGGCCATCCCTTATAATATGGAAGACCTACCAACCCTAAAAGTTAACTTCTCTAGCCTTCAAGTTAGGGCCATCCCTCATAATATGGAAGACCAACTTACCCTGTAACTCAATCTCATAATCAGGACAATCTATCAACCCTATAAGGCAACCTACTTGGCCTTCAAGGAAGGGCCATCCCTTATACTATAGAAGACCTACCAACCCAATAAGTATAGAAGATCTACCAACCCTATAAGTTAATTTCCTTAATCTTTGAGATAGGGCCATCCCTCATAATATGGAAAACCAACCTACCCTGTAACTCAATCTCATAATAGTGACAATCTATCAACCCTATAAGGCAACCTTCTTGGCCTTCAAGAAATAGCTATTCCTTATAATATGGAAGACCTACTCATCCATAGAAGATCTACCAACCCTATAAGTTAACTTCTTTGATATTTGAGATAGGGGCCATCCCTCACAATATGGAAGACCAACTTACCCTGTAACTCAATCTCATAATAGAGATGACCTACCAATCCCGTAAGTTAACCTTCTTGGCCTTCAAGTGGAGGTCATCTATTATAATACAGGAGGTCTACTGACCCTATATGTCAACCTTCTTGGCCTTCAAGTAAGAGTCATCCCTTATAATATGGAAGACCTACCAACCCAATAAAGAACAATCAAATAGATAATTTTGCAGATAAGGAGTATCTCTTATAATATGGAAGACCTACCAACCTAGAAGTCAACCTTCTTGGCCTTTAAGGAAGGGCCATCCCTTATAATATGGAAGACCTACCAACCCAATAAGTATGGAAGACCTACCAACCCTATAAGTCAACCTTCTTGGCCTTTAAGGAAGGACCATCCCTTATAATATGGAAGACCTACCAACCCAATATGTATGGAAGACCTACCAACCCTATAAGCCAACCTTCTTGGTCTTTAAGGAAGGACCATCCCTTATAATATGGAAGACCTACCAACCCAATAAGTATGGAAGACCTACCAATCCTATAAGTTAACTTCCCTGGCCTTCAAGTTAGGGCCATTCCTCATAATATGGAAGACCAACCTACCCTGTAACTTAATCTCATAATAGGGACAATCTACGGACCCTATAAGTCAACCTTTTTGGCCTTCAAGGAATGGCTATCCCTTATAATATGGAAGACCTACCAACTCAATAAGTATGGAAGACCTACCAACTCTATAAGTCAACCTTCTTGGCCTCCAAAGAAGGGCCATCCCTTACAATATGGAAGACCTACCAACCCAATAAGTATGGAAGATCTACCAACCCTATAAGTCAACCTTCTTGGCCTTCAAGGAAGGGCCACCCCTCATAACATGGAAGACCTACCAAGCCTATAAGCCAACCTTCTTAGCCTTCAAGGAAGGGCCACCCCTCATAATATGGAAGATCTACCAACCCTTTCAGTATGGAAGACCTATCAACCCTATAAGTCAACCTTCTTGGCCTTCAAGGAAGGGCCACCCCTCATAATACAGAAGATCAACCTTCCCTATAGCTCAATCTCATAATCAGGACGATCTACCCACCCTATAAGGTAACTTTCTTGGCCTTCAAGGAAGAGCCATCCCTTATAACATGGGGGATCTACCAACCCTATATGTCCATCCCTTCTAAACGGAAGCCGCTTACCATCATGCCCAGATGACTGGAGATGTTCCACCAGGTCACACCCAAAGACCCGGTCCTTGGCCGCCGCCTTCCGCTTGACTTTCTGCCTGGCTTTCATGGCCAACGACATGGCAGGAGATGACCGCCAAG